GCGGCCGGGGGGGGCTTCCCCTCCATCCACAGCCCAACCCGCTCCCTGAAGCAGGGAAACCATCAGCTTTTCTTCCCCTCCACTGTGTCCGGGTGCTGCCTGCAGTGGGGAGCGACCGGGGGGCCCAGCCTGGTGCCTGATAGTTTTCAGTCCTCATCCAAGCCCAGTGCAGCACTGGCCAGCCAGCTCCTATTCTGGGTTACTGACCCACCCTGCAGCCCTTTCCCCGCCGGGCTGGCCACTGCCCGCCCCCGAGAGCCGTGCCCCTGCACTGCTGTGCCCCTATGCCAGCAGCCCCCCCGGCAGCAGGTCCCACTCCCCACAGGCACAGGATGGATGCTCCACAGGGTCTGGCCAGTGCCCAGGGCAGCGGGACAGCAGCTCACATGGCTCTATCTGGGCCTATTTGCTACCAAGCCTGCCTACGTAAATTAATCAGAGCTAATTGGCTTTTAGGTAAGTCTTCTTTGCAGGAGCTCTGCAAGAAAGGCTTTGAAGTGGGATTGCAAGTGGCAAAACCTTTATGTAAACACACAGTGCGACGCAAGGACAGGCTCCCGGCCCCACTGTCATTCCCTGCTCCCTTCAGCACAGAAGACATCAATAGGTTAAAATCTTGCTGGAAAACTTTCACTTCCCATTAAGTGCACCCAGTTTATTTACATCTGTCCTGTTACAAGAGACAAACAACAGTCACCAGAGGGGATGCCTGACAAGGGCTGGCTGTACCCAGTGACAGCAGGACAAACTACAGGTGCCACAGAGCCTTTCCAAAGCTAGGGAGTACAGTCCCACTCTCCCCCTCACATTGCCAGGATGGGCTCATCCCTCAGGTTTTGGGAGGATGCAACACTCTGCAGAGGTCCAGGAAATACATCCTCCAGGTCAGAGGTATATACGATGCAAAATAAGATACTGTACAGAGATCAACTGCGGCTGCAGCTCTGCTCAACACCAGCCTTGAGATTATCAAGAAAAAGGAGGGAGTTGTCCTCCCCGCTGCCCTCCAGTCACAACCAAGCTGCTTTATTGTGGGTTTCCAGGCCTCAGCTAAGCAGATCCATGCAGCACGTTTAAGCTGTTAAGCTTGGCTGAATAGGGCTTCTCTGTGTGCAACTGCTGCTCAGCAGTGACCAACTTAGAACTACTCAAAAATGTAGACATATATTTATACAGACTCCACACAAGAAAGGATTTAGACATTTTCCAGCTCAGCTCCCCAGTTAATAATAAATAATTGGCTCCAGAAATACAGCAGTGATCCAAGGCATGAAGAGGGCTGGGGGCAGAACCCATGGCACAGCCAGTGCAAGTGCAATAGCTCATTCCTTCCCAGGGGCTGTCGGTGCACCGCAGAGACCGAGCACTGCCCCATCCTTCCAAACCACGTACCTGTGACAAGGTATGTGGCTGGGACGAAGGCGTGAGGGGCCAGAGAGGGCAAGCACAAAGCTGGGATGTCAGTCATGGGGCTCGCCCACCACCACGCCACCCACAGCCAGACTTCTGCCGGGCTCAGCACTGCCCAGCTGCCGGCAGGGCTTCACCCCAGGCCACGGCCCGTCCTGGCCCCAGCCCCAACAGCAGCTTCGCTGTCACTGGTGCAAGTGTCACAGGGCAAGGGGAGAGGAGATGATTGCAGCAGCAAGCACACGCTTTTCTGGGTACAAGCGTCCCCACCAGCTCGACACCCATCGCACGCTGCTGGAACCAGCGCACCCCAGCCTCGGGCGAGGTGCCAAGGATGCATCGAGAAGCCGGGGGTACTTGGGCTTCTCACAGCAATCAGGGAAGTGGCAGCACAAAACCCGTCCCTCAACCCCCAGGACTGCTCTCTGTCCAAGGCCCTTCCATCTCTGCCCAGGGCTGGGATGCAGCAGGTGGAGGGGCAGGGGCATGGACAGAGGCTCCAGGTTTCTTACTCTTCTTGCAGTTGGCTCAGGAAACAAGTGCTCGGGGGAGAGGTGGCCCCGAGGCAGCACTGGTGCCCCGCTCGTCTCCATCCACGCAAGGCGAGCCCCTCTGCCCCCGGGTCTTTGGGCATCACGTGTAGTTGCCTGGGCCACCCAGAGGGATCACGAAGACAGAGATGTCATCACCAGAGCCCAGCTTGTCGTTGGCCAGCCGCCAGCCCCGCTCCTTCAGCATACCCCTGGACCGCACCACCAGCTCCTGGGCCACCATGGTGTACCTGGGGGCAGAGCACAGCAGCTCAGCAGCAACCCCAGACCTCTCAGACTCCCTGATGCAGCACACTGCAGTCCCTGGCAAGAAAGAAGCCGGAGGAGCTGGATGTGCAGGGAAGGGTCCCTTGGAGAGGAGAGATCTGAGCTCAGGTACGTACATCCAGGGGAGAACTGCACGCTGCAGAGCAACAGCACCAGTCCCGAGGCCAGAGGGACATGTGGCCACAGCACTGCTCCAAGGAGCAAGGAAGATGTTAAAGAGCAGGACACACTTATCCTGCCCATTCTCAGCTCACCTGCACGGGTCATTGGGCTCGTAGCTTGTCAGCACCTCCATCACCACATCAGCCACCTCCTTGTCGTTGGTGACATCCCAGAGCCCATCGGTGCCCAAGACCAGAACGTCATCAGGGCAGTGCTCGTACTGCGTGAGGTCATAAACCCTGACCTGGGAAGCAACGGCGTGAGATGCAAGGGTGAGGGGCAAGGGAGGCTCCCAGAGAGCCCAGGAGAGCACTGGCAGCGCCCAGAGCCCCTGCACTGGGCTCATCAGGGATCTGGTCACCCCAACCGCCTCCAGCTGTTGCAGGACCCCCTGTGGGCATGGAGTGGCAGCAGCCAGGCTCACCTCCGGGAAGCAGGACAGAAAAGGCTTGATGTGGATGTTGGAGCTGAACACCTTGAGGTCATGGTCTCCCAGGCCCCGCGTGACCCCAATTGTGGCCATCACCCGAGCCTGGGGAATGACAAAAAGCAAAAGAAAACTTTGAGTCACTTCATCTCCACCTCCATTCCCAGCTCAGAATTGGTGGCATCGGAGCAGCAACAGCACTAGCAAAAACGGGCTGGAAACGCCCAGTTCAGCAATGGCGGGAGGGAAGTGCCCCCTTCACTGACCCTGCCACAGCACTTCACCTTTTTGCCTTCCCCGTAGATAAGTGGGAACTTCAGGTCATCCTCTTCTACCTTTTTGTAAGCCCTGGTGAAAATAAGCCAGAGACCACGTGTCAGCAGCTGAATGCTTCCAGCACCTCCCCTGCCCGCTCGGGACACAGCATCCCCCGGGACAAGGCCCCTTCAAGAGCCGGGTGCCCGGTGTGCCACAGCCCCTGCCCCGAGGGAAGGGATGCCGGAGCCGGCGGCCACGTGCGGCAGGACCCCGCACTGCCCCTCGGCACGGAGCCTCCCACGGGCGGGGGGTTCCCAGCCGCTCATGTTTTGGTCTCTGTACAGCATCTTCTTCCCCAGCTCCTTGGGCTGGATCCTGCGGGGGAACTCCAGGTAGGTGAACTCCTTCCCCAGCAGCTCAGGCCTCAGGAACGCCTGCGGGACAAAGGGGTGGCTCAGCCGTGGGGCCGGGAGAGCGGGATCCGCACAGCATCGCCCGCAGCACCTCCCCGGGCAGTGG